GGGTGGGTGGGTGGGTGGGTGTGCGTGTGTGTGCGTGTGTTTGTTCGTGTGTGTGTACACCTATGCATGTGTATTGATTTAAACAAACGAATTGACACATCCCATGCTCTTGCAAACATCCCACCCACCCACCCGCAACTTGGTCTGCAAAACCCACGCGGTGGCGATTGCGATGAATGTTCGGCGTTGGCTGGTGTATCTCTGCGGCCACGCCAACCCAACCACGCGCGCGCAGCGGCCAGCTAGTTTGGCGCGACCGACGCGACCGCGGTGGCGCTAACCGCAAGGCACATCCCGGCGGGCACCTCAGTGCGAGTCGGCGATTTGGCCGGGCGCAGTATCATGGTCACGTCGACAACGGTAGACACGATGATAGTAGCGATGCTGGTGACGATGTTGGCAACGACGACGGCGCGGCCAGTGCGGGCGCCGATGCTAATCACGCCGACGACACCCTCGCGTCGGTGATGCAGGTTTGGAAAGAGTTCGACATGCGCGCGCGGCCGACGCGCGAGTGACCCGCATGGTATTACTTGACACGGATCGTCCCCCCGCCAGCACGCGCGCACGGGCGCGCGAATGATTTCGGCATGCGGCGCCAGAGGCCCCTTTGGGCAAAAGCCCATGAAAAATGTTGGAAAACCGGTGATTTTCTCAAGAATGCGCGAAAGCGCGAGGGCACGCTTTTTTTGAAAAATTATGGTCGAATCCATATGTTGTTATATGTGTTGTTGGACACTCGATTTTGAAATCCTCACGAAACCCCAGGTTTCGAGGGATTTCGGCATGCGCGCGCGACGACGCGCGCGCGTGCCTTTCTTCCCATATGTTGCATAGGATTCTCGCGACGGCACGCGCGCAAGGGCGATCAAACGATTTCGACATGCGCGCGCGAAGCCCGCTTGGTAGAATTTCCTGAAAACGATGAAAAACCTGTGTCGTTCTTAAGAATTCGCGCGCGCAATCTTGTTTTGAAAATCCGTGTTGCCAAAACATGTTGTTGTGTTTGGGAGACTGGATTTTGACATCCTTCAGAAACCAAAGGTGTTTGAAGGATTCGGCATGCGCGCGCGACGACGCGTGCGTGCGCACTTCATCTCATATGTTGCAAGGGGCCCGTGAAAACTGATGATTTGTGATAAACGAGCGCGCGTGTTTTGTATCTGTTGCAGAGGATGGCGGGGGGATGCCCGCTCGGCTGGGATGGTATGCGTTCAGATTTAAGATGGACACTGGGGCATAATCATCTGCTAGTGGCAGTACGACAAGGGGAACACGTAATCCCCGGGGGGGCGGGGTAGAGTCTGGTCTCCCCTTAGAAATGAGAATACACGGGGCCTCAGCAACAATACTATCATTACTGGAGTCGCAGACTCGCTATACCCCCATAACTGAAGCCTCGCAAAGGGTCGGAGAGCAGCGGAGAGGGCTCGGAGGAGCCGGGCGCGGGCGGGCCATCACGGCCGTATTCGGCAGGATGTCAGAGAAGTCTATGGTCGTCAGGTCCTTCGTGTTGCCTATGCGCTGCACCACCTGCACGGGGCGACGGGGCAGGCAGAAGCTGCCCCAGAAGGAGACTGCCGAGGGCGAGAAGCAGAGGACGAAGAACACGAGAGGGGTCAGCCACAGGGACCCAGACAGATACGAACGGCGGCTAGTGCCAACCGGAAACATCCTCCCCACAAAGCTTCTGACTACCTACCAGACCACCCCAACCTAACCCAAAGACCCACAGTTCGGATTGGGGGGGTACGGATTCTACTGTGTTTTGTTCAATGTTCCCCGACGCCACTCCCACTGGGAGGGGAGGGTAAATTGGGGCCTTCGGGTTGGGTTGGGGTGGTTTGGTGGGTGGTGAGTTTCCAGCCCGCAAGACTCAGCACCAATCCTGACATCTGACCATGACTACCGACCAGACGCCCCCAACCCAACTCGAGGACACAAGCTTCGGTTTGGGGGGAGACACGGGTTCCGTGTGTGGTTTCCCAGTGCTCCCGGACGCCCACGCCCCACTGGGAATGGAGAGCAAACCGGGGGCCTTCGGGTTGGGCTGGGTTTGGGGGGGTTTATGACGAACCAACAACACACACCCATACCCGTAGGGGGATCGGAGAGGGCTATGGGTGCGTGTTGTCGGATGGGGGTCCCCGCTCGGACGGGAGCGTCCCCCAGGGTCCGACAACCCGCACCCATGCCCATAGACAGTCCTCCCAACGACCTCCCTATGGGTATGGGTGTGTGTTGTTCGTTCCCCCCCAGGCGCGCCGCCGACGCGCCGCTCGCGGACCTCCGCGACGGCGCCCGGGAGCGGCTCTGGGCGCGCGCCTGGCGGGACCACGCCGCGTGGGCCGAGCGGCAGGGCGCCGGCGCGCGGCAGGGCGGGGCAGAGGGCTCGGAGTCGGCGGGGGGAGCTTGATCCCGAGGCCCAGGCCCCAAAAAAGAGGGCGAGTCTCCATCACGGATTGGGCTGGGTTGGGGGGGGGGTTTAGGGGCGGCGAGAACATTTGATGCTTCCATGTGCGGTCCCTGCGCTCCCGGCCGCGCCCCCTGCGGCAGGTCCTCGCCGCGGAGCCGCTCTCTCGTGGGCCCCGATGGGGGGGGGAGCCGCACACTGCCCCCGGAGGCCGAGCGCGAGGCAGAAAGCCGCGATCGGAGGAGGCCCTCCGCCACGGAACCCGCCATCCCCAGACATGCGATGTCCTGATTGTGTACATGAGGAGGAGGAGGAGGAGGAGGAGGAGGAGGAGGAGGAGGATGAGGAGGAGGAGGAGGTGGAGGAGGAGGAGGAGGGGGGGGGAGGAGGAGGAGGAGGGAGGGGGTGGAGGAGGAGGAGGGGGGGGGGCGAGGAAGGAGGGGGAGGAGGAGGAGGAGGCGGAGGAGGAGGAGGAGGAGGAGGAGGAGGAGGAGACAAGGTACCCATACCGCGGAGTCGGAGGAGGGCAAGGCACTCCCTCGGGTTCGCCTTGTGGGGGCCTCCTGGGAGGCCCTCGTCGCCACCGCTGGACTCGCTTCGACATCCTGGTCAGAGCGCACCCCGGGAGAGGTCCGCGGGGTAGCGGGATCGGTACCTTTTGGTTGCCCCAACGGGGTCCGCCGATCAGGAGACGCCAAATCCAGACGGAGGAAGCCCAGACGGAGACCGAACACTCCGTATAGACTTACCCCGTATGGACTTAGCCTCCGATCAGGAAGGCAAAGTCCATGCGGAATAAGTCCATGCGGGCACCGAGCACTCCGTGTGGACTTACTCGGTACATGAAGACTCAGCCTGCGCCGACTTTCGGGGGCGGCCAAGAGAGGGGCGTCCAAGAGAGGGGCGTCCAAGAGAGGGGGGGGGGGGGGGGGGGGCCAACAAATCATTGGCGGCGGGCATGTGCGCGGCTCAGGGGGGGGGGCGGGGGGGACGCATTGAAATTCAGAAGAGGCGCCATGAAATCTGGGGAGGTACCATGGCCCCCGCCATGATGCCCACCCGCCCCCCTAGTCACCACCCCCCTCTTGGCCGCCCCCGAGGCTGGAGGCCCCGACTCGGGGAAGTAGGTACTGCCCTGGGTCAATCCAGACCCGGGTCAACAGTCAGGCTCCTGCAAGATCCTGCAGGATCCTGCACCCCAAGCCTGGGTCAATGCACCCCTGGCCCTGCAGGATCCTACAAGACCCGGCGCTCTGGCGGACCCCCGTTTGCATAGACCCCCGTCTCTTGAGCCACGACCGACCCTGTCTCTTCCCCAGGGCCGGCTGACATCTCATCCCAGACCGCCGCTTCTTCACAGCCCCAAGGGGCCCAGCGAGGGCCCCCGCACGGGGCGGCTCCGCGCGGCCCTGTCGGCTCCTCGAGCCGCTCGGCCGCCGAGAGGCCCGCCAAAGGAGGGCGGCCCTCTGGGCGCGGGCAATACATTTCGGCACGGAGGGGGGTTAAAGGTGGGCGGTCATGCAGGAACAACAGATCCCTCCAGAAATCCCCCGACATCCTCCTCCCCCTCCCTCCTCCACCCCCCAACCTTCCCCCCCCTCCACCCCCCCACTCCTCCCTCCTCCCCCCCCCTCCTTCCCTCCCCCCACTCCCCCCCTCCCTCCTCCCCCTCTCCTACTCCCACTCCTCCTCCTCCTCCTCCTTCCTCCTTCCTCCTCCTACCTCCTCCTCCTCCTTCTGCCCCCCCTCCCCTCCTCTCCTTCTACCCCCCTCCTCCTCCTCTCCTCTGCCCCCCCTCCTCCCTCCTCCTCCGGGCGCAGCGTCAGGTACAGCAAGGACCTGCGGTGAGGGCGCAGGAGGGCCTCGGAGGGCCAGGCCGCCGCCCTGCGAGATCGGCTGCAGAATCGTTCGAGCCCAAGATGGAGCTTCCCGTCGAGTCTGCGTGGAATTCACGACAGCTCTACGCACTGGTCGCAGCCTCGAGGGGGAAGGCTCAACTCTGGGGCGGAGGTCGCTTCTGCAGTCGACCTCCTGCTCGACGGGGCAAAACCCTGGAGAGCTGCTTCGCCTGGCGGCGCCTCCGGCGCCGCCCCTGGCGCGCTCCGCGCGCCAGGGAGGGGGGTCCAGCGCCGATCCGAGAAATCCGCGCGGACCTCTGAGTTTTCATGTTTATATCACTTGTTGTTCCCTCTAAGGTTCAGTCGGGCCTGTCCCCCTACAGGGGGATTTTCGACGAAAACTAAAAAAAATACCCCAAAAATAATCCAAAAATAGTCTGGGGGCTATTTTTGGAGCATCTTTTTCCCTTTTTGGTGTATTTTTGGGGGTGTTCTTTTTATTTTTCGTACCCAAAAACAAGTGCCCCAAAAAACAAATGCCCCAAAAACAAAAAATGCCCCCAAAACAGTCCAAAAATAGTCCAGAAATAGCCGGGGGGCGATTTCTGGAGCATGTTTTCACCTTTGGGGGGTACTTTTGGGGGTGTTTTCTTTCAGTTTTTCGTCGACTATCCCCCTGGAGGGGGGGGGGGGGGGGGGGACACGCCCGACATAGAACCCTGAGGCGCGGCGCGGGCCGCCTGCAGGTAGTCCAGGGGGCTGGTGACGATGGACTCCAGCTCCTGCGCGTCCCCCGCGGCGCGGGCCCCGCGCCGCCGGAGCGGCCGGTCGGCCGGCGGCGCGCCGCTCGGACGAGGACGGGGAGGAGGGGGGGGGGGAGGGGAGGAGGAAGGGGGGGAGGAGGAAGGGGAGGGGGGGAGGAGGAGGAAGGGGAGGAGGAAGGGGGGAGGAGGGGGGGAGGAGGAAGGGGGGGAGGAGGAGGAAGGGGAGGAGGCTCGAGGATCGAGGGAGGAGGGGAGGAGGATCGGGGGCCCAGGGTCGAAGGATGGAGGATCGAGGGAGGGGAGGGGGACCGAGGATCCAGGATCGAGGATCCAGGATCCATCCACACGACAGCAGAACAAACCATGACAAGACAACACACAGCAGAACAAAACCGGACGAACCAGCAAGCGAGAAACGACGGAAGAAGGCTATTCTCGGCCTTGCCTCGCCTTACCAGGCCTCGGAGCCGTCAAGGTCAAGAACCTGCTGGGGATGAAAGACTGGCCCCTCGGAAGGTGTCCAGAGGTCCAGAAGCCCACGTTGTGAAAAAGCATGATGTCGGTGGCTTTGGATCGCAGCTGTTCCTGATATCGTCAGTGCAGGGATCCTGCCATCAATAGGACGCCTCCGCCCCACCTTCCTCCTCCCGCCTCCCTCTCATACGCAATTGCTAAACCTCCGACTCGTTCACATCCTGACACACGCATTCAAACTCATTCGACTCAGAATCGCTCATACTAAGACTCACGATCCGCTCATTATCAGACTCGCGCACACTCGGACCGATACAGATCCAGAACTGGAGCACTTAGTCTGAATCATGTTCAAACCCACTCAAGACCAGACTCACTCACACTCAGACGCTCTCATTCACAGGTCCACTCGTACCTAAATTCACTCACATTCATACTCAGACTCACACTGGAACCCGCTACTACTTACCACCACCACCCATACTGGCACACCCACACACACAGTCGTACGCCTTCCCCAAACTGAGCTTGCACTTAGGGCTTATTATTTCTGGAATAATGAACTGGGTTTGTGCATCGGTTTGGCGGCGATGTGGTCGCCGTCGTCGCCCCGTCGCCGCGTCGTTGCCGCCCATCGTTTGGGACTGTGCGTCGGTCTCACGGCTATGTGGCCGCCGTCGCCGCCCCGTCGCCGCTTCGTCGCTACCCATGGTATGGGATTGCATCACATAGATTGAACCGCATAGATGGTCTGCTTCACCTGAATGTACCAGCATAGATTGCACAACATAGATTACACCACATAGGTCGCAGCTCGTAGATTGCACCGCATACATAATATTTTCTAAAAAGAAAAATAAGTTACCCCCCCTCCCCCCCCCCCCGGGGTTAAAGATTCACCTTGTCGTGTTACAATTTACATGCGATTTTCCCCCATCGCCCATCCCAACTGTGAACTCAGACTATCCCAGCTAGACCGGTATCGCCCCCCCCCGCCATCCCCTGCAAAAAACTATGAACCTTGCGCCCTCGATAATAACCCCCGGGGGAAGATAAAAGTTCGGGGGTCTAGCGGGGATAATCAACGATTCCCCCGGCGATGGTGGAGGATGATGATGATGATGATCCTGGGCGCTCGTGTAGACTGACCTTGTAGATCTTGGCGCAAGACTGACTCGAGAGAGGGGCCACGAACCGTGTGAGGGATGTGTTAAAAAAGTAGTTCCAATGCTATGGCTGCTCGGAAGACGCAAGTAATTTCAAAATCCAATCGGTCCCCATGGCCCTGCCACACGTTCCTGACTCGGGAACGGCTGAGAAAATGAGAATCCCATGGCCCTGCCGCACGTTCGTGACTTGGGAAAACTGAAATGGTGAGAATCCCACAAGCCTGCCACACGCTCGTGATTGCGAAAGCTGGAACGGTGAGACCACCATTGTCATGCTCAGCGTTGTTGACGCCGCTGCTAATTCACAAAAGATGATAGCAACTTCGAGTCGCAACTTCCCCCGGGGATTATCAAGTTCGGCGTCGCCGTCCCTCTCCACAATTGAATATTATTGACACGGGATACTAATATTCTGGGGACAAGGGAGGTACAGTTTTATCCGGGGCATGCGGTTATGCGCGCACACTCGTTTATCAAAAATCGTGGTCATTTCAAATATTCCTCGCAAAAGAAAAAGGAAGTGCACACGCGCGCGTCGTCGCGCGCGCATGTCGAAGTCTTTTTTCAATGTCAAAATCGAATGTCCAAAAAACATATAAAAGCACAGAGTTTCGCAACACGGATTTCCAAACAAATGCGCGCGCTCTTGCGAATCCTTTAAAAGATTTTCTGAAAATACTACCAATCGGGCTTCGCGCGCGCACGTCGAAATCGTTCGAACGCCCTTGCGCGCGTGCCGTCGCGAGAATCATTTGTAAAAAAAGAGACGAAATGCACGCGCGCGCGCGCCGTCGCGCGCGCATGCCGGAATCCTTCAAAAACCTTTGGTTTCGTCACCAACATCGCTACTATCATCACCATGTGTCTACAACTGTCGACGTTGCCATGATACCGCACCCGCCCAAGTCGCCGACTCGCACTCCATTGCCCGCTGGAAAGTGCCGTGCGGTCAGCACCACCGCGGCCGCGGCGGTCGCGCCCAAATACCTGGCCGCTGCGCGCGCATGCGCATGCGCGGGCTGGCGCGGCCGCAGAGATGCAACAGCCAGCGCCAAGCACTCATCGCAATCGCCGCCGCATGAGGTTTGTACACTAAGTTGCGGGTGGGTGGGTGGGATGGTTGCGCCAGCAGTGGAGTGGAAAACTCACAGCGAACAGAAATTAATTGCGCCACACCGATTGCACACAATAGATTGCACTACATGTGTTACTCCACATATATCGCCATACATCTTACACCTCGCATATTGCGCCATCTATATTGCATCACTGAAAGAATTGCACAACTTACATTGCAACATGTGCACTGCACAACATAGATTGCACCACATGTGTTGCACAACAGACGTTTCACATCGTCAGCTGCACAACATGTATTGTATAACATACATTGCAACACGTACGCTGCATCACATAGATTGCCCCACATGTATTTGGACCACATACGTAGCCCATAGAGATTGCATCCGATTAAAAACCCTTTCCATACGAAACCGCACTCGAGTCGTACTCCCCACCCATACTCAGCCTCACGCGTGTTCAGCCTCACCATGACCACTTCGAAGTAGCGGGCGTGGCGAGAGGCCCCCCCGAGGGGGTGTCGACCAGGGGTGTTCCACGGGTCCGCACGCCCAGATGTCCGAAACCTCTCAGGCGGAATGCCTTTTGTTGGCCCCGTGGACGGCACCTCGTAAGCGGCTTGTTGGCGCCCTCAGAGACCCATGATCACCGCCATACGGAAGGCATGGCACTTGGAGATCATTTTTTTATTCCGGCCGGTAACGCTCGTTACCCGGGGGGGGGGGGGGGTCGTGCCCCCCGGGTAACGGTAACGCTTGGGCTGGGCGGGGTATGGCGAAGCAGGGGCGCTCTGCGATCGCCATAGTATGCGCGCGAGCAGCACTCTCTGCCTGAGAGCACCACAGTGGCTTGCGATTCGAGTACAAGCGCAAAGCCCGCCGCGTGGTCCCGGCACCACGCCCGCGCCCGCGCGCGCGACGACGATGATCGACGAGCGACGAGCGACGAGGTCGACGACGACGACGACGTTTGCCGCCTGTTTCGGCCTCCGGAGGCCGTTTTCGGGCGCCGTCGACGACGACGACGACGACGACGACGACGACGACGACGACGACGACGACGACGACGATTCGAGTACAAGCGCAAAGCCCGCAAGCACCAGCATCGCGCATGCGAGCGCCGCAATGGCCTGCGAGCGCCCACAGTGCGCCTGCGACCACCACACCACAGTGCGCATGCCTTCGGGCACCAGCATGTTGGAGGGGAAGACCGAGACCCCCCCCGCGTACGAGCGTTACCGTTACGGGGGGGGGGGGGGGGGAGAGGCCCGGGTAACGAGCGTTACCCCCCAGAGGATAAAAAAACAATCTCTTGGGCCCCCCAGAAAAGGGTGTCGACCAGTGCTCCACGAGCCTGCTCGAGGCCACACTGCCGGGCTTTTCGCAGCGAGACGCCCGTGCTGGCCCAGCGGACGAGTCTCTGAGCACACGATCACGGCGAAAGCATCACACTTCGGCTTACCAGAGGGAAGGGGTGCCGCAGGCGTGTTCCGCGGGCCCGTTCGCGCCCAGATTGCCGGGACCTCCCAGGAGCCGTTCTGGCCGAATGGACGGGTCTCTGTTCAAAACCCGACCAAAGCCCCATGATCGTCGCGATGTAGCAAGCATGGCACGTGGCCCCCCCACAGAATGTCGACCCAGTGTGTTCCACGGGCCTGTTCGCGCCATGATTGCCGGGACCTCTCAGGAGCCGTTGTGGCCACGTGGACGCGTCTCCTCTCGAAGCCCCGTCCATGATCACCGCGATGTACCGGGCTTGATCCAATACGTGGGTCTTCCAAGGGAGTCGATCAGAGATGTTTCACGGGTTCTTTCGCACACAAATGGTCGGGGCATCGCGGGCTCACACCCCGCTTTGGCCCAGTGCACAGGTCTCATTCCTGCCGACGAGCATGACGGCCGCTATCGCAGTCATGAGATGGTGTGGGAAACTGCTCGTCTTTGTAAGTGAGGCGGCCATACCGCCCCCTTGTACGCAATGCACGAAACTCACTAATGCTCAGATGCGCTCACTCCCTGGCCCACCTGTCAACAGTGACCCGTAGATGCTCACTGATACTCAGACCCTTCATTCATATTCGACTCCGCTCTCACTCCGGCACCAGCACTCATCAAATAAAGCGGTGGAAGATGGATACACACAGGGCACCTCCGCGTCGAACCATGTGAACGTGGTTTGCCATGCTTGGGTCCCGGGGACCCTCTCGGGACCACGGAGGAACTCTGAAAACCTCTGGGGACCTCCAAAGCCTTTCGGGGGACCCTGAGGGAAAAGAACGAGGGCAGAGGAGAGAGG